ACTAGTTTTTACTAGTTTTACTAGTTTTAAACTTTAAAAAGTATATTTTTTACTAGTTTTAACTAAAAACTACTAAAACTGGTTTTACTAGTTTTTAGTTTATTTTTTACTAGTTTTTATTTTTTATTAGTTTTTAAGCTTTACTAGTTTAAGGAACATGATCTAGCAAATTCACAAATGTATGGTAAATATTAGATAACATTAACATATAATCTTACTTTCTAGGGATAAATCTTGATAATGCTTTGATATATACAGGAGTTACTGTCCATCAGGCTGAAAAATGCTCTTTGTCTTGAGTTTTGATGCTTACTTTGCCAGATATACTTTTAAAATGAGCCTTATATTTGATCAAGAAACATTTTATCTCTGTGTAAATCTGCATTAATTGGCACAAGCCTAAGTTACTTAGATTTGTATTGTTTCAATGTTTATTACATAGTATATTATCTAAGAATGTAAATTATTTGGGGCTTATATAAGGATATTGCAAAGTATTTTATTTCTACAGTATAAACTGAAATTGAAGAACATAGAATTCATTTTAAAATGTTATCATTTGTACTGGAAGTAAAATTTACTATTTTATCACAATGGCTATTCATTTTCCACTTAAGACCTTTTCTGATCATTTTAAATGTAAAGATTTTCTATGTTAATGTACTAGACTCTGCTGGCAAAGCATGGAATATCAGTCTCAACCACATTTGGAGCCAAATGCATATTGCCTGATTTTATACATATATATGTATAAGATTTGGTGCAGGTTTAAATAGTTCTTTGAATCTCAGTATCTTCACTGACATAAAGACCATCAACCCTAAGGGATTGATGGAAACAGTTTTAGAAAGATATGGTCTCTAATTGGTCCTTAGGGCCTCCAATGTTCAGAGAAAGTTATTTTTTATTCATAGATCTTGAGAGCTAGCCCCAGGCATCATGTGACTGTGTTAGACATAGACATTACATTTATGAGTCAATAAATTCATGTGATTTTGAAACAAGATAGATGCTATCTTTGTGAAATTATCACATAGAATCTTGACAGAATGGTCACACGGAGCCAAAAATGATGAATCACACCTTAAAAAGTGCCATAGCATGCCAGACTGACAATGAGAGAAATCACACAAAGATAAGGTTTGTAATAGAATAGAGCAGATGTACAAATAGAGGGAAAGAGAGAGAGAGAGGCACAGAGACAGAGAGATTGTTATGGACAAAAATGAGAAAAATGGAGTGAGCTTAGAGATAACAGGGCTTCATTCTGAGGTAGATTATTCTGTATATTTCCAACAAATTCTGTAGTAAGTCTGAGTTGACCGAGTGGTTCTCTAATCCATCCTTACCTCATTCATTTGAGAAGTGCATATCACTATCACGATCATACACCAGATAGTGAATTGAAGTTACCACTGGCAAAGATTATAAAGTTACTACACAAGGAAGACAGCACTGTTAGCATTGGTTTTTGTTTTCAAAATCTATCACATAAACCTATTTTGAAGACACAGGCACCAAGGATACAAGTGCAACCGATTATGACTAGTAATAATCATATACATACAGATTAGAGATGCATGCGCCAGCATCTCAGTGTTAGTAGCAAAGCAATGAGTCTTTCTGCAAGGAACAATATATTCTAAAATGAAATGGAGATCTGTTTTAAAGGTTAAAAAATTCATTCAATTTCATGTCTTAAAGGGCTTATACTGAGTTCAATATTATATAACTAGTAACTCAACTGCAAACCTAGACACTTGCACCCACTTGTGAAAGAGATGTACTTTTGCTCTGAAGTGTGTAACTGAATATGTTAAAGCTGTAGTGAAATGCTTCTTCTAATCATGTAGTTATTATTTTAAAAATAATGATTAAAAAATAATAATTCTTCAAAGCAAAAAAATGAAATTAAATTATCCATG